AAGCCATTGTAAAGGTGTGTTTTTAGCAGAACATGCAGCAGTCTTTTTAAACAATGTTTCCACTTCCATGACAGCAAATACAATGGCACTTATTGTAAATCTGGAGTTAGGAACTGTGAAAGCATTTTCTCCTCAACTACATTTTCACCCTCTAGTCAAGACAGCAACATTCAAACAAATGACACCATACACACATAGTAAACAGCTGATTCAGCCTGATGCATGGTCCCCCCAGCTTCGACATCTGTCCTCTCTTTGGTCTGCAGGATCCCTATCAGGGAACCATAGTACTGGCTACAGTGAAGGGAGACGTCCACGATATTGGCAAGAACATCGTAGGTGTGGTGCTAGGTTGTAATAACTTCAGGTAAAACTGGTTTGCTATCACGTTTAAATGGTTTACCATCAGAAAGCTTTCACTTGTATCAAGGTTCTTTTTCTGCTGCACTCTCACCAGTATCTCCAGTCTGTTTGCAGCAGTTCACAATGAATCATTAGTAACAGTAAATTAGTTATTGACTAGAACTGTGAGAAAGTTGTGTACAATGTGTGGATGAACATCAGCAGCATGATAGCTATTTACTGTCCCTCATCATATGATCTGCTGAAGGCCTCTGTCTGAGGTGAGATGTTAATATCAGTGGTAATGGCACCAGTTTACCTCTCATTGCCTTTTGATCCCCTGCATGGGCACAGTGGTGCATCATGGGAGTAAAGTGGCAGTGTTGATCTGTTGCCAGGCCCTAGGCAGCAACCCGGTGCTATTACTGTTGTGTAATGGCAAGAAATTGCTGCGTGTATGTGCGTGCATGTGTGTCGGTGTTTGTTTGTGTGTGTTTCTGTGTTAACTTGGTGGGTTTAGTCCTACATTCTGTAATGTTCCATGTGCATGCAGAGATAGGAATTGGGGGGGGGGGCAGAACAAACTTTTTAGGCTCTAAGCAGAATTATTTACCCAGTGAATTTGGTTATTAAAACTTTTTTTCCGTGTTCATTTCCTTAAAAAGTAACCTCAACCTAGGTTACCCAGCTGATGTTGATCCGACCTTGACTTGTGTTCAGGTGGCATTAGCTCCTCCCCACAGCTCTCCTCTCCTGATCCAAAACCATCTCATCGTTTTTTCTCTGCCGCCTCAGCTATTGTTCTTCACCTCTCCATTCTAGTGAGGCCTAGTGCACTCAGGACTTTGTAAAGCAATTGCCCCGTAAAACCTCTGCAGCCAAACTCGATGGGCTCTCACCTGGCCTTCCAGCCCTGCTCCATGCTGTTGATGACCAGCTCCTCAGTCTTGGTCTTCTTAATCTCGTAGACTCTCCCAGCAACTGATGGCTTCTGCGATGGGTTTGAAAACCTGGTTGTGGTGCTGCTGGGCTGGTCTAAAAAGAAGATATTAAGGAGACATTAAAATAACATTTAAAAGACAATTAAACATGGCAATTCAAATTTCTCTAATGACATAGAATATTTAAAAACATTTAAAATGAAACGCTTTCAAATTAAATTTAAAATACGCTTCTTTAAATCGTTCTACTCATTAAAGGGCCTACTCAACACATTACCCTCAGCAGCCCAAACAAATCAGGGCTCTTCAGCTAAATGTTCTCGAACAAGTTATTTCTCAAGTCACTGTAGAAAATTAAATTAATCAACTTAACATAGACCTCTGCCACAGAAAGTACAAGAACATGCTGTAATTTGTTATAAATACTTCAGTTATGTCAAAGAAATGAGGGTGAGAAAGGGTTTGTGTTTTCTTGCAGGGTGATTGACCTGGGTGTGATGGTTCCCTGTGATCAGATCCTCAAAGAGGCTATCACACAGAAAGCAGGTGCAGTATACAGTAACATTGCATGTTGTAGTTCATTCATACTTGTACATAGTGAGAGCATCCTGAGGTCCAGGGAACGAATCCTTTGTCAGAGGCCTGTCTATACATGGTTCTAGGCTTCATTATTTTTTTAATTGCCAAATTTATATTTATATTTATATATATATATATATAAAATGAAAGAAATTGTTCTCTCTTAAATCGATCATCAGTCAGAGCTAATGAGAGTGAAAGACACTGCTCTAAATTTTAAAGATGGAAATAAAACATTATGTCCATTGGACCTAATGATAATGATAAAGCTGATATTCTTTTTTTCTGTCATTTCCACACATACTGTCTGTATGCACATAATTCATACAGGCAAACAACATTCCTCATGGACCACAATGCAACAAACAATGAGCATGTGTGCAAACAATAATAACTGCAAAATAACTAAAGACTGAAATGATTCAAACTACCTTCCAAATCCTTACACCTTTTATGTTTTTCATATCAGACAATGCAAATTATTGAAATTATTATTATTATTATTATTATTGCTTTTTACTTCTCATCCTATTATTTAGCAGCACTAATTGTGGGTGTGTATTATGTCTATTCATACAGATATCATTGGTTTGTCCGGTCTCATCACCCCCTCTCTGGATGAGATGATCTATGTGGCCAAAGAGATGAACAGACTGGGGATGACAACACCACTGCTGATTGGTGGAGCCACCACATCAAAGTAAAACAAACATATATAAACCTATGATTTAAGTAGCACCTCCTGTGCTCATTGTTAAAGGATGGTGATAACTTGCAGTGTTTCCTGGGTTGCAAACACTTGTGTTGTGTATTTGATAGGACGCACACGGCTGTGAAGATCGCCCCTCGCTACAGTTGTCCTGTTATCCACGTTCTGGACGCCTCCAGGAGTGTGGTGGTGGTGAGTATTTCAACCTGAGCTCAGTGAAAGGCTTGTAGGGTCTGAAGTGATCTGCTAATCAAAAAGGTCGGTAGATTGATTCCCAGTGCCTCCGAACAGCATGTCTAGAAAATAGAGAAAATGTGAAAAAAATGTGTAAAATGTCAACTGACTTCACAAGAACAAAATCATTTTTTTTGTTTTGTTTTTCAAATGGATATAAGAGGAGTTCAGAATGAAGATTCCAACCTCTGACTGCTTTGAATCTGCTTGAATGCATAGAGCATGTTTGGTTAACTTGTGCTGACATGCACATGCACAAGGCTGCAAACTTAGCTACATTTAAATCTGCACTAGATCATTGTTATGGAATTTTCATAGACACTGTCTCTTGTCCTCTCTGGGGCAGAGCGCAACAGGCTGTTGTGTTTGGGAAGTGCGAGAGCTTGGGGAAGGTCAAAGCCTTCACACTCTAGACATCACAGATATGAGACTGTGTAAGCAGGCAGTAAACATTTGATTGTTTAGGAACAAGCACAGCCATAGATTAAATGATCTGTTGGGGTTTAAAGTGTGACTCTAGGAAAGCAGATTTCAGAATATGAGAGAGCAACATGCAGAGATGTTTAGTGGATGAATTCTGATTTTCTCCTTGGCCAAGCTTCAATAAATATTTCTGCATAAGACGTCAAAGGGCTCCTGAGCGCTTTCTTCACTGATGAGTTGACCATTGATCAGCAGATTTTCCACAACAATTAGGAGCTGGATCAAAATACTTCTACTGTAGGTGGCGAGTTATAGGACACACCCGGCTGTTCTTGAGAAAATATTAGAAAATGTTCAATAGTACTTTGTTAAGAAATCCATTAAGAGATCATGGATCGGCAACAAAACCATGTTTTGCAGTCGAACATGAAATCTCCTTATCAGAAGTTCAACTAACAATGAAAGAAGAATGAAAATGAATATGTCATGGAGAGTTAATGGTCTCTTATAGAAGACAAATTTAAGCAAAGATTTTGTTAACTGCTTTGATTAGTCCAGGCTATAGTGTGTCTTATCTTCCTGTGTGTCAGTGTTCCCAGTTGCTGGATGAGACTCTGAAGGAGGAGTACTTTGATGACCTGAAAGAAGAGTATGAGGATGTCAGGCAGGACCACTACGACTCTCTGAAGGTAAGAATGGTTCTTAGAAACGCCCGATAGGGAGGCACCAGGGGAAACTTTGCTCACCTGGTTTGCAATGTTTATTCCTTGGATCACATAGGTGGCCGTCTTTGACATCAGTGTTGCATCCACATGTTGAACCCTCATCAGGAACACATGCAGAAGGCGTGATTCAGTTACTGCAGATTAAGTAGAACATACCTGAGCTCCTGTAAACACCTCCAAGACAAAAATATTACTTATCTCTACTGAAATTTTCGCACAGGCGGGAATAGTTTTTTTTTTTCCAAGGCAAATTATTGATCAAATTTAATATTCTCTTCTAGAAGAAATGAGAGTGAACTCTGAGATTCTGTCTAGATTATAGTTTTTTTTCAAACTGCATGAAAAGTGAATATGTGCTACTGGAAGAAGCAAGATGACTTAAAACGTTTAGATTGAATCAATACAAAAACAAGATTATTTATATATTTCTTTGCTGTATGATGTTATTTTAAGTACACTGAGATATGGACGATTTGGAAAAATGGCATAATAATACAAGTGTTTGAGAGGTAATATAAATCTTACAAATATACAGTTTACTTCACAAAAATTCTCAGTTATTTCCTGACAAAATAAAAGGATAAAGCTGCACAATTATGGAAAAACTGATAATGACATAAGTGTACGTAGATTTTGACACCAACTGCAAATCCTAAGGTCACATTCTTGTATAGATTTCACACAGCTGCACATTTCTCCTCTCCTTGTCCTACAAATGAGCTGGTATTAATAATATCAATAACTAAAATGTCCAGAATTGTTTTTGTAGCTTGGAGGGTGTTTGTACAAGTATTTCGATGTCAAGGTTTGTGAATGCAGTGCTGTGTATTAAATTTTGTCCTATTTGTCCTAAATAAACTATAAATAATCATGATAAATGGTTTAATAATTTATAAATCATGACTTTGTATTCGGGGGGTGTTTGTTAATATATTTTAATGTAAACCACATTGAGTTGACTTGTCATTAAATGTTTTTAATGAATGAAATTGCCTGATGTTTCTCTTCATCCTCCATCTCCCTGTTTTGCCATCAGGATCGCAGGTATCTGTCTCTTTCTCAGGCCAGAGACAAGGCGTTGCGTATAGACTGGTCCTCTCTGCCCAGACCAGGTGAGTTGGTGCAGACTCATTTAAGACTCGTTCTTCTTCAGGAGCACTGATGCGGTTTCAGTTTGTCATGCTATTCTGTAGCGTTAATCTTATTAATCTTTATTTTAAAGTCTGCTAAGGATCCATTTAAATATGTGATAGTGTATTTTTCAGCTGAATTAAAACCAAGTGTGTGCCATGTATTTGTCTTTGTGTGACAGTGCGTCCTCAGTTCCTCGGCACCCGCGTGTTTGAGTGGTACGACCTGAACAGTTTGCTGGACTTTATCGACTGGAAGCCTTTCTTTGACGTGTGGCAACTCAGAGGAAAATACCCCAACAGAGGTTACCCCAAGATCTTCAAAGACAAGACTGTTGGTATGAGTCCAGCCTCTGTCAAGGTTCATCATAAATCTGGCCATAAATAAATCTGGCTATATATAATTTCATTTTATTTCAACATCCAGTTTTGCAAAAATAAATTTGCACTCTGAACACATGTTTCAAATAAAATATTATAGGTAAGATTTGATTTATTCTAGATATCATGGTTAAAATAAGATAATATATTTGACTTGATTTAGTCAATAAAAGTAAATATTTTGAACAATGCATACGATAGAGTGTAAGTTCTATAAAATGTTTATATATATATTGTGATGCTCAGGCTTGATGCAGATATAAGGGACCATTGTACAGTGTTTGGACCATAGTGTAGAGAAATCATATTAATGCTAAAAGAGGTATACAACTGCAACTGCACAAATCACTGGCGATAATGCGTTACTTTAAAAACGTTGTTACTGCGTCTGATCTTCATCGTATTTGGGTCCTGAAGGTTTGGAGGCTCGTCGAGTCTTCGACGAGGCCCAGCAGCTGCTCAATCAGATGATTGACAGCGGCAGTCTGAAGGGGCGGGGTTTGGTGGGTTTCTGGCGAGCTCAGAGTGACGGAGACGACATCAATGTGTACAAAGAAGATGTCGCGGTGCACAGAGACACCAAACCCATTGCCAAATTCCATGGCTTAAGGCAACAGGTAAGAGACACACTATAATGTAAGTTTAATAATAAGTCCTGCTGAAGCACTTAGGTCATTGTAAACTGTACCTCCTGTACAGAACATGAATGATAATATAGCACATTAAACTTTTTAGCCAGTAATTGATACTAGAGCATTGATACTAGAGCATGGCATTTCAGATCCCAATATATTGGCATACATTTATTAAATTATTCTTAAGATGTCATTGTGACAAATATATTTTTATTTGTGCCAGCCACTTTCATGTGCAAGTTCAAACTTTTTTTCTGTTTATTTATTTAGAGTAGTTTTACTACGGATTTATCTTTCAGGTCCTGTCCTGAAAGATAAATCTCGAACAACATTCACACAGTCACACATACTCATACCAGGAAGTTTCCCAGTACAACCAATCTGATCTGCTGGCTGCCGAGCAGCTCTACTGGAGCAGATGAGGTTAAGGGCCTGGCTCAGGGGCACTGCAGCTGCGTAGTCGAAGGTTGAATAAGTGCTGCTCTTTCAAAATCCCCAACCAGATTTAATCATGTCATCAAACAAGTGACCTTTCCATCTCAGGGATGCTACCTCTGCTCTACCTTTGTTTAAATGTATTATAACTGTCACTTAGTAACAGCTCCCAGCCTGCAATGAACACACAGGAGTGGTCACTCATGAGGAACATGAGGAGTTTATGAGGCAAGGGAGAGAAGAGGAAAACTGGCGATATTATGGATGGCCCTCACTGGTTTCTACTATCTAGCAACGTGCTAGTCTTTACCTCTTACTGGATCTACCGGCATTGAATCCTGCCAGACATATCTGGCCATTGCTGTTCTATGAAGTCCCACTGACCAATGTGGAGGGCTTCAAGGGAAACGTACTACACAAGTGGCTTTACCTGCAAAAGAGACTAAGCAGTAGAGCCTTGTTTTGGCATGCCAACCAGCTTCAGCTCCCTTCTTTCACCTGTGCCACAAGGAGTGGATCGGGCAGAGAGACAAATACAGCACATCATGACAAGGATGACAAAAGCCGGGTTAGGCTTTTACAGATAGGATGGGTCAGGCAGTCATTTCATAGCATGCCTGCTATGATAAAGCGCCGGGAAAGCAGAGGCATCGGTTGATTCAAGAAATCCAAGAAAATTTAAGAAATGCTTCAACAGGATAATGGGCATGTTCAGTAGGAATGACAAACTGGGAAAAGAGCATCAGAGGCCAGAACAACTCTGACTCGAGTATAAGGTTCATTCTGTCCATGACACAGTCCCAAGCCCTGAAAAGCTTCACTGCAGGGGTCTGGCATACACACCAGAAATGTCCACTGTGCCTGCAGAGATGAACACAACTGCTGCCCAAAGGCCTGAGGAGAGGAGCAGTATTGTTGGCTCCATGGTCAAGCACTGAGGGATGTAGCAAACACCATCTGCACAGGAATCCACCACAGTAAGCAACAACTCCCAGCGAGGGATACCATCACCTTCCTTAGAGCAGGGATGAAGCACCAACCCCAGTTCTGGGCTCCGAGTTGTTTCTTATAAAAGCATGCAACTGGCATTTAAAAGACAACCAAGGGAGGTAGTTGCCCTTCCCCGATTAGATTGCATCTGAGTTAACCAACAAGTGGTTTTGCTGAAACTCACTCTCCCAGAGAACAGATAGAGGAATCCCATGAGCATGAAGAGGCCTAAGAAACTACCAACTGATAGCTGAGTGCTAGAAGCTGGGATAGAAAGCAGTGCAACTGTTGAAGTGGGTTGCAGAGGCTTTGTAGGGCTGTCTTCACATCAAACACTCGATGGGGAATAACAGGGTTTACAGCAGAAGACCCACAAAGAACATCCTTTAGGCCACTTAAAAGGCTTCACACTGGCTCTTAGAAAGGATGAGTGTAGCACTAGCACGCAACCTGGGGACTGATCACCCTGGCTGGTTCACCCGGGGAAGTGTGTCTGATGATGCACCACCTACGTGTATTATAGTACAAAGCAAGGGTGGAGTATCCTCGCAAACGTGAAAACCATCAACGTACCACAGAAAAATCATGATTGCAATATAAAGAGAGGAAACACGAACTTCGATTCTCCATGGGTCATATTTCAAAAGTCTTCAGTTTGTCCTCTCTCAGAATTTCTCAACAGAATCATGCTCTGTTACCTTCTGAAGAGTGTAATCGTCCTAAAATGATTATTGTATTTACTGGCTTAATGGTACTACCTGATCAAGAACCATCGAGATGGGGGAAGAAATACACATCATATGCCTTTGTCTGACCTCTGATTAATACTCACCATTCCTGATGGGGAGCAGCCCACGAATCTTACTGAGATGATGTCTAGTGTTGCTTTCAGATGTCGTGCTTTTTTTTTTTTTTTTTGTGCCCTGTACTTTTCTGAGAATTTAACCTTCACGATATGTGTATGTGCCACAGGTGGAGAAGGACAGCTCCAGCTCAGAGCCCTTTTTGTGTGTGTCTGACTTTGTGGCCCCTGTAGACAGCGGTGTAGCAGACTACATCGGTGTGTTTGCTGTGAGTGTGTTTGGAGCTGAGGAGCTGAGTCAGCAGTTCCAGGCTCAGGGAGACGACTACAACAGCATCATGGTCAAAGCTCTGGCTGACCGCCTGGCTGAGGTACAGTATGGACAGTCTCCTAACATAACAGGTCCCCATCACAGCTGGTAGCACACGGGTCAGTGAGACATTGGTGCTGAACGACACGTTACCTGCTGGTGCCACGGTGTTTTTGTGTTTCGGTTAAAACTCACTGTTTCTCCTCCAGGCATTTGCTGAGGAGCTCCATGCTCGCGTGCGCAAGGAGCTGTGGGGCTATTGTGCTGATGAAGCTCTGCAGGCCACGGACCTCCACAGAATTCGCTACCAGGGCATCAGACCTGCAGCTGGCTACCCCAGCCAGCCTGACCACACTGAGAAGACCACCATGTGGAGCCTGGCAGACATACAGGACAAGACCGGTCAGAGCACCCAAAAAAAACACTTGTCACAACTGCAGCTGAAAGGCTCGAATGTTGTTCACTCTTTGTTCTGTTGTGTTCTCAGCATATTTTCAGTTATGATATTTTTCTCTATCTTTTCAATCTTTACATTTACCAGCACTCACGCACTAACCCGGTTACTGTAAATCCATGTAACAAAGATGCATAGCTTTGTGAAATGAACTCTTCTGGGATTTAGCTACGCTCATACACCCCATGTGAAGTCTTAGTTCATTATTATCTATTATCCATTATCCAAGAGAACCAGGTTTCTCAATTATATGGCAATTAGTAACATTATTATAATGTTATTTTACCTCGTGCCACAAGTTTATATTTATTTCCTCATACACCAGGTGTCAGGATTCACACCAGTTCAGGGAGTGTACACAGAGCATTGTGTGCGTTGTTTTTGTGTCTACAGACGTGTGATCATCAGACACGCAACAGTGTGTTATATGAGGTTCAGTTGACTTGTAGGCAGGGATCTCTCTCTTTTTGGGGGTTTAAGGCAGAGTCATGCAAAAAAATGGGCAAGAATATTGAAAGGGCAAGAGATCTTGGTGCTTCTCTGTGGGTTTGACATTCATTTTTCAATGGCACCTTAAATAACCACGATGTGAAAGTGTGAAATTAAAGAACCAGACAAATATATTGTGGGATGGAATATAAGAATATAAGAATGGAATAACCGTGACCATTAATTCATCTTTTTCAATACTGAACAAGGAATTTGAATAATTCATTGGCAAATCCTTTTACTGTTTATGTCACCTTTGAATATATTAGTGCATCAAGTAAATGCAAATTGAATTCATCAATTTACACTTTGCTTTTTAAAAACATATATATTAATTGGCTCCATCATCTTTTGGGTGCCCAGACCTTTTCCCTTAAACGGGGTCAAAGCTACTAAAGCCTGAACTGAGTATTTACAACTGTGTGTAATGGTAATTTCACTTTTTTCATACAATATTTATAGTATGGTGCAGTGTACAAATATGACACTGTGTTTTCCTGAATGGAATCTGACATGAAAAATAGTCACAGTCACTAACCACATTAAGTTCCCATTGTGCTGCAGCTTATATCTGACTGCTCACAATCAAGCATGGATGTACTGTGGTTGACAGACGCATTGTCTCTGTCAGAAGAACAGATGTGTATTTCAGCTTGTCATAGCATCTCCACAAGTATCAGTCAATCTCTCTGTTTAACTTCCCTCTGATCGTTGAGCTTGTCTGTGTGTCTGACGCTGGCTCAGCCAAGCTGCCGCCAAACTCCACGCACTGTAAAGTGACGAGCATTAGCATTATTGACGTTATCACAACACTGACAAATTCCTGTTTGAGCAGCTGCGTGCAGGTGGGCAAACCTCTGGATGCTTTTGGAACACATCAGTGTGTGTGAGAGGGGGGCTTATCTATTCATGGGGGGGGGGCAGTTTCCACAAAATTAGTACAACCCTTTGTGTGTACTGGATTGTTTTTATCTCATGGGTAATTGTTTGCTTTGCTATCCATGTGTGTGTTTTCTCTGTGTGTGTAGGTATTGGTCTGACAGAGTCCCTGGCCATGACGCCTGCTGCTTCAGTGTCGGGCCTTTACTTCTCCAACCCTCGGGCCTCATACTTCGCCGTGGGAAAGATCACCAAGGAGCAGGTAAAACTAACCACCCACACCCACTTAATCTTTAACTGCGTTCATTAACGAGAGACAGTATTGGTTTTCATGTCACTCACATCAGCTGCTTTCAGGCATGCACTGAATTCCGGAGATCCTCGTGTGGGAGCCCTTTGAACTTTCTTAGGCCAGTTCCCTAGTATATAGTCCGCAAAATGCCAGAAGGAGCTGGTATGAGAACACAGCAGGAGCTCCTCCACAAGTGGGTGTGTTGAGGAAATTTCAAAAAAGCAAGAGATGCAAAAATGAAATAAACCACAAGAGAACCAATTTCTCAGAATGAAAAGGCGGAGCTGTACACGTAGAAGACACCCAAGAAGATGTTTACAGTTTTTGGTCATCAGGGTGACGCCGGTGTCAATGTGCTGCAAACAAAAACATCTGTGATGTCCGCAGCAGAAGGAATATGTGACACCTGCCTCTGTCTGCTGCACCACCCTTCACCAGAGCGCTCCAGAGATTTCTGTGTGGAGAATCTCTTGCTGTGTTTTGCATGTGTGAGAGGTAACCTCTGGGGAAAGTCCAGACGCCATTCTCCGAAAATCATCGGAGAGGAATATCAAGAGTTTCTCTAGACTCAAATTTTTAGTGAACTTATTTCTTTTCTCTTGTGGAACATGCCGGCCTTGTGCTAAAAAACTAGATCTAATTAGCAGCACAGTTTTTAAATACTTGAATGCTTCATTGTGTAATTATTTTATATATATATATATACGTACACACACACTGTAGCTTTGAGCTGCTTGACCGATGATGATGACATTGGGAGTAACTTTTGATTTGTGTTCACTTGTGGAAGCAAACTTGTTGCGTTAGCTGTTAGAAATTCGAAATAGAGCTTTTTTAAAAACACACTATACTGTAAACATCTTGAAGAATTTGTCGTTGCCTCACAACATTAAGCAACGAACAACCCAATTGAATACAGTTCAATTCAATTTTATTTTAATAGCGCCAAATCATGATATACATTATCTCAAGGCACTTTACATAGTAATGTCAAGACCTTAAAATGTATAGAGAAACCCAACGGTTCCCTCATTAACTGAAAGAAAGCTCTAGCAGAACCAGACTCAATGTGGGCGGCCATCAGGTTGGGGTAAGTGTGTGAAAATGGAGAGAGAGACCAGGAACAGTTGTGTAATCGTTTATATTTAAGCTCTGTCAGACTGGTTGAGTGATATTTATAGATGTAACGACCCACAATGCAACATCAGTGAAGGTGCCTCAATCACCTGTGATGTTGTGAAATTGTCTAATCCCAAAGAAATATCACCACCCAACTTTTCAACCTTTCCAAAGAAAATGTTCTTGTATTTGGGCCAATTTAATAGTCGGATAAAATTACTGTGTTACTACATCAGAAAACAAAATCAACTATCAAATTAATTTAGCAGTTACGATAAATAAAATATATGAACTATATAAACCACTGTAAAATGTTAAATAACAGGATGTAACATAATGTCTCACGATTCTTAAATAAAATTAATTACAATGATTACAGTTTCAAAGAACAGCCAACACAAACCAACACCGTGTGAGGGGAGGGGGAGTTACCTGACCTAAAAGCAAAGTGTTGTGTGACATGACTCCATTCATTCATAAAATTAGTGCTGTAAAAATGTAACTGAATTTATCAAGAGTGCAGGAAAACATGGAGGAAGTGTTGAGATTGCATCCACTGATAAATGGAGAATTTGAATAACAAACCTGGTATTTCTCTGCAATTGAGTAAAATGAGGGGCCACTATTTGAATATTAAAATGTATTATGTTTTAATCCCTTTATGTATACTCCAGGTTATTGGCAACCTGGGACTATTATACCCTAACTTATTTATTCTTTATTTTAAGCCCTCACCTCTGTGTTGTTAGTGGAGCTAATTATCTTCTACCTATTGTGATATTGAGATTTAACAAATAACCAGAAGCATTATGTTTCTAATGTTGTTTTTTATCTGAACAGTGTATTTGGTCATGAGCAAATCAGGGGATGCAGGAGTGTACATTTTTTCACGGGTGCAGGATGCAAGTTAAAGTGGGTAATGTTATAATTTTCATTTCGACCCCATGATGGCAGTGTTGCGTAAAGACAGATAGACTGAGTCTTAATTCAGTTATTGTCAAAGTTACATAATGTTGCAGCACCAGGGAGTCTCGGTGCAGAGCATGTGTTCCCTTGATATTGAGGATTCTCGTGACAGCAGCCGTGGAAATGAAGATATATCAGCGACCACTGATGATGAGGAAGATGTTTTTGCATCCAGTGATAATTCAGAAGCAGAACACTGCTGGAGAATGATGACGCTAGTTCAGATAAAGAAACATGAAATATCAGTCTGTATGTAAAGAAACATGGTCAATCTTTTGGGGAAATTTTGTGTTAAAAATTATAGAAATGATTATTAAAACATATATTATTGTTAATTATAAAATTTTATTTTTGTGTTTGTTATTATAATTATTACTTTTAAACAACGTGGAATACAAGCACCAGGTGTGTAGTGACGGAAGTATTAAAGCATTAAAATAAAAGTTTTATATATATCTGTACTAATATCAGCCTTTTTAGAGGGTAAAATTTAGTGGAGGCAGGAGTCATAGTAGTATGTCCATTTAAAGGTCCAGTGTTTAAAAGGGATCCATTTGCAGAAATTGAATATAAAATTATTCTACTGATGTTTTCACTAGTGTGTTTAATCTAAATTGTGAGAATTCTTGTTCTCTTTACCCCAGAATGGGCCCTTTTTATTTAAATACTTTATATTTCGAGGGGGTTAGGGGTGTTCAGCTGCAACATGCAACTTCAACACTAGATATCACAAAATTCTACACACTGAACCTTTAAATACTTTATATTTACATATCCACAGAGGCGCCATTTTTTTACAGTTGTCCAGACTGGACAAGCTCAAACACATTTTGAGTTTTTAAAGATTTATATCGGAGAAGAGTCGGGACACAAAACCAAGCTGAACTTGTATTTCCCCTGCTCTCTGTCTTCAGGTGGTGGACTATGCCAGGAGGAAAGAGATGAGTGTGGAGGAGGTGGAGAAGTGGCTGTCTCCTATCCTGGGGTATGACAGTGCAGCGTAGATTGCGGCCACACCCGCAGTCAGCTCGAGCACAGAGGGGTCAGAGCAGGGATCTAGTCCTACCACTGTATCTCATACAGGTTCTAACTGTGACTGCGTATACATTGACATTCACTGGCATGTGTACTGCACAAACACACCAGGCTGTATCATTTCACTACATATTTCAAGCTGTCCTCTGTGCCAACAGGTTATGACAATCTTAAACTCCCCTCACAGTTATTTTGCTCATTGTTGATAGCATTAATGTTTTCTCTCCTTGTCCTGACCTGATGTCAGTGAAGCTCAGTGCTATTATGAGTCCTGACTTTCTGTGATACTTTTTACATTTATCTTAAATAGTTCAACATTTTTAGACTTTTATCTGAGATGAGAAGAGAAAACAGCCTTGTTTAACAAAACAACAGGTAAATAATTTTTCATTGAAATCAGGATATATCTGTCTGCTCAAAGAATAATACTGTGAATCTGTTGTTACGTTCACGGCCAAATTTCAGTGCGTGACGTTTTTATACTAAGTGGTACGGACCAATTCATCTGTTACTTGAAAAGCATCGATGTCAGCAGCTTAAAGTAGAAATAAATGTTGCGTCGAATGTAAGCTTAAAAAGATTTACTGACAGTACAACCAAACAAGAAAGGCTGGACAAATAGTTCATGAATATGATCGAGTTCACAAACGTTTTAGATTTGTATGTGAAAGAGAAAGTTTAGGTCTTTGCATACAGATTGTATTTATTTCAGGTTTTAATCTCTTTGTTTTCATTGTCTTAAGTCAGCATTTCATTCACAAGTACAAGTTTCACATCTACATCCAACGTATTGTTGTTATCATGTTTTATCAGTGATGATTAGTGGACTATCCATATCGGTTTTATTCAAGGATCCTGAAACATTTCCATGTTACAAAATAAAAATTAAAAAAAAGAATCTGCATTTCACATGTCTTAAAAGCCCTAATGTGCTGTAGCAGATGTTCTCAGTCTGTGTGAAACTGTTTTACTTTCTTAATTAGAAAAAAGCAGATACTACATGACAGTATTATTTTATGAAAAATAAATTGTTGGAATGTTATGTTCTCTGTGTGTTTCTGATTGTAAACCTCTGGTCTAGTTTAATGCCTATGGAGAAAAGATTGGTGTCAGGATGTGCTACAGTCAGGTACTCTGACTCTTCACCTGACTCATCATCGTAGAATGTTTATATAAATGGACGTAGACTCTGGGTTCATTAAGTGAAACTATGGTGGAAGTGCCTGAAACCTGTATTCTCTTGAGTGGCCATCAGAGGGCTACTCCACCAGTTGCTTAAAGGCAAAGCAATTTAATTTATAAAGCAGCTTTCATACACAGAGGTAGAGTCAGTATGTTCCTTTTGCTCAACAGTCCCCTTATACAATCTGAAAAAAGGATTTGGATCTGCACTACATTGCACACACTCATAAATATCAGTGTCCTAAAGGCTGCTGCACACTAGAGGATGTTCAGGCTGATTTTAGACCCGATTTGCCACTTCCGACAATCGTGGTGGGAGTTCCCGACTGGAGGTGACTGTGGGGGTTTTACAAATAAATCTAAATGCTACCTGATCTCGATTCCTGCGATGACTGGCTCCGACAGAAACCCGCAATAGCGAGATAGCGAGCTGACCGGGAAGCTTGCACTGCAAAAAGTATACACCTTCTCAGCCATGATGTTTCGCTGCAAAACAGAATAGACAAAGTTGGTCCTCCTCTGTTTGTTTGACATTCTGGTCAAATCATGTGTGTTCTGACGATATATGATTAAAAATGGGTTGGATCTGTCATGTCTGTGGCCTCCCACGTTTTTCAAATCGGTCAAGAGTTGAAAAACCTCTAGTCGTGCAAATCTACGAATGAAATATTCTCTGAGAAATCAAGGAACATGTTGAAAAACGTTAAAGAAACCAATCCTCTCATGGAAGTCGGTTGTGTATTTTTTGTGTGACCTTGCAAACAAACACACAAACAAACAAACACAGTCAGTGTGTCATTGTGTCTCCAACAGCATTTAGCATGGTGGCTGAACTTCCACAGCCAGAAGGATGGGGGGGGGGGGGTGCTCGCGCGCGCACGCATCCTCCTCGCTCTCACACCTGTGCGGCTCCTCCCTCGGTCAGCGCGCGCCGTCCAATGAGGGAGCGAGCTCCGCGGTGCGCTGGGTTTTTCCGTCTGGAGCTCGCAGACTCGAGCCTGGACTCCACCGCAGAGACACCGCCGGCATTCTGTGTGACAGAGAACCATGGCCGAGGGAGGAGAAGGCGAGGATGAGATCCAGTTCCTGCGGACTGTAAGTGCTGCTCCTCTCGAGCCCGGTGCCGCTGCGGGGTGTCACTGCGTCTTTCTGCCGGGCTCTGTGTGTGTGTGCGTGCGCGTGCGTGCGTGTGTGTGTGTGTGTGTGGGCAGGGAGTTTACCGCATTAAGGATGACAGCTCCTGTAGTCATTGGTCAGTGGGTCCGCATCGTGAGGACATGGCAGAGGTGTATGGGGTTGGTGGGGGGGGGGAGAGGCGGTGCGCTGCGGTCCCTCTCTCAGATGGAGGAGTTGGGCAGCGTGCAGACATGCGTGCGGCCGCTGGTGTGTGTGTGTGTGTTGGGTGGATGCGGGGCGCAGTGCGGTGTGCGGGCTGGCTGCGTGATGCCTGCTGCTGCTGCAGCTGCTGCTCTTCCATCCGCAGGAGCGACGCCACGGTGCGCGCGGGCTTATTCCACCATGTCAGTCCTATGTGAAAGGGGAGACGCGCTGGAGCGGATGTTTTATACAAAGTCACGTGAACGATCGCACGTGAATCCGCTGCACCCGAGTATTTACTTTTTAAAGGAAGGGGGCGGACACTGAGTGTGCAGATGAACATGTCATGTATCTGTGAGGAATAGTGTGTAGGGGTTTCTGAGATGATCCCGTTGTTTCCAGCGCAGCTCCTCTCCTTTCTAATATGTTGACAGCAAAAGAAATATCTCTGCAATGATGCTGGTATACCACCACTTTACTTTAAAGAAGATGGGACTTGTTATTACAGTCTGCGTTTTACACAGCGATTCATCGTTTAATGTGAACAATGGATCAAATGATTATTTGGAACGTGGTAGGAATTATCACCTGACACCGCACACCCACTCAGATCGTTGTTTTGGTTCGGTATCACACTTCTTATTAACCTCTGTACACCAGACATTAACCCACTGTACACCACAGATTCAAACACTGTACACCACAGATTAACCCACTGTACGCCACAGATTAAAACACTGTACACCACAGATTAAAACACTGCACACCAGACATTAACTCACTGTACACCACAGATTAACCCACTGTATGCCACAGATTAAAACACTGTACACCA